GTGCCTGAGAAGAGCAGGTTGTATTCAGCTACCTTCTCTGGGGGATGGCTAGTCCCTGAAGTGTCACCTCCCATCCCAGGACTGCCCTGTGCTGCTGTTCCATGTGCTGGGAGCTGGAGCCACAGGTGTGGAGTGTGAGAAGAAATTCAGGGAATTCAGAAATTCCTTTTGCCTGTGCCTTGAGACACAGCCTGATGCTTTTGCTGGCTCCTTGGGAAGCTCAGCTGGCTGCCGTACTGGCTCAAGGGCTGCTTCCCAGCTCAGGTGTGTTTTCTGGCTTACAAGAGAGCTGGAGAGGGACTTTGGACAAAGGCCTAGAAAGACAGAAAAAGGGGAATGCCCTGTCAGAGGGCAGGGTTAGATGGCATATTGCAAAGAAGTTCTTCCCTATGGGGGTACTGAGGCCCTGTGCCCAGAGCAGCTGGGAGTGTCCAGGGAGGGGGCTCAGAGCACCCTGGTCTAGTGGAAGGTATCCACCCTCCATGGCAGGGGGTGGAATGAGATGAGGGCTCTTCCAACCCCAACCATTCCATGATTTGCTGGATTGCCTTCCTCCACTCCCCCATAATTTTAATTTGTTTTTACCAGGATTCCCTTACAGGCAGTAACAGCTTTTGGTGGATTTGTCCTGGTTATAGTCTCCACATCCCCTTATTGTCCAAATGGGCTGCTCAGGTGTACCTTGTTCTCAGTGGAGAGAGTGAAAAATGAGATAGACACACTCCTTTGGGGTGTGTGTTACTTGTCAGCATTTCATAGAATCCTGGAATGGTTTGGGTTGAAAGGGACATTAAAGCTTGTCCAGTTCCATCCCCCTGCCATGGGCAGGGACACCTTCCACTAGACCAGGCTGAGTGTGAGCGGCAAACTGCAGGTCTCTGGTGTGCTGGATTTCTGGGGGAGTCATGCTGCTGCAGCCTCCAGCCAAGGAGCTTACATGGCATTTATATTTTTCACGTATTTTTAGTTCTAGTCACATTGTATATCCTTATAAACCCTTAAATAAAGTGAAGCTTTTAATAAAGGTGCCGCGGCAGTTCTGATCAGAGAAAGGAGTCCACTGATTATTCAGATTTGTTTTGACTTCTCTAGGGCATCATAAAACATCAAATACTTATAATTTATTCATATATGTCTGAGTGTATAGACCTGTGTTATAAAGAAAACTTCATTATTAGATCATGTGGGCACTGCCCAGGCTCCCCAGGGAATGGGCCCGGCCCCAAGGCTGCCAGAGCTCCAGGAGCGTTTGGACAGCGCTCTCAGGGATGCTCAGGGTGGGCTTGTTGGGGGCTCTGGGCAGGGCCAGGAGCTGCACTGATCCTTGTAGGTGCCTTCCTACTCAGGATATTCTAGGATTCTGTGATCTTGAATTAAGCTTCTGCTGGATTTTTGTAAACATTTTAAGAAATTCCTTTCTGGTGGACAGAAGCCTCTAATGCCTGTTTTGACGATGAAGGGTTTTGGCAAGTCAGCCTGCCTCAGCTGGTTTGGAGGGAGTGGAAGGGACACCTTCCACTAGACCAGGTTGCTCCAAGCTTCATCCAGCCTGGCCTGGAACACTTCCAGGGATGGGACAGTTTCTCTGGGCAACCTGTGCCAGGGCATCACCACCCTTACCTTGTGGGGGTTTTGCTCCTCTGGCTGGTAGAGCTGAAACTTGAGCCTTTTCCTGTGCAGAGGCTTTCCAGGAGGAAATTCCTGCCTGTCCTGCAGGGCATCAGCTTAGTGGTGGAGATGGCCAATGTGACTGTAAATATGGGAAAAACACAAGTCTGAGATGGGAATTGCTGAATGAAATACAACTGAAATTTATTTCAGAGGCTCCATAGAAGCATAAGCATTGGGACAGGGTCACTCAAAGCTATGCACAGATGAGAACAGAACTGAAGGCAGCAGGTTAAGCATGCATGAAGTGCCTGGCAGAGCCCAGGCACAGACTGGAGGCAGGGCAGAAATTTGGGGTTTCGTCTCAGGGTTTCCCCTCCAGAGCCACTCACCACATTTCTGAGCACATAAGCCACACCAAATAGGATAAGAATAATTTCAATTGTCTTGTTAAGCGTCAAAACTTCCCGCAGCAGTGCTCCCACTCCCACAAACCCCAGCGGTGCCTTGTGGCTCAATAACCCATGGAGCTGGAGTTAAATCAGATTTTGCCAGACCATCTGTCAGCTTGTTTAAGCCAAGCATAGCCGTGTGCCATGCACAGAGGAACCAGTGGAAGATTTTTATGTTTTCTGACTAGACAAGTTGATTTTATAAAGCTGATTACTTTTTATTAGTGGTGGGGGCAGAGGGAAGTTTTGCTGCGGTTGCTCTTGCCCACATCAGACATCATTTCTCCCAGAGATGTGTGGTTCCTTGCCTCAGATACCTTTCCTTTTTGCAGACGGTTGGTGTTGATTCCACATTTGGTACGTGTACAGCAGCAGACACTTAAAAGCTGGGAATGAAAGTGGCTCGTGGTAATTATCACAAAATTAAAGATAATCTCCTGCTCTGGAATTGTGACAAAGTGCAGAAACGAGATTAGTGCAGCAGGAGAGCGGTGGCAAGCATGCAGGGAGAGCACATTCCCCTGGCCCAGGGCTCTCAGCTGCGCTGTGTTCCCAGCAGTTTCAAGTGCTCAATGTGGAGCAGCATTAGCTCCTTTGGATTCTCCCATGGTCTGAAAGTGCTGCTTCAGCTTGTGCCCTGGAAGTTCAGTAGCCAAATGCTCACTCAGAGCCTTATTTCCTGCTGTCTGGGCCATTGCAGGGTGTTTTGTTCAATGATCACAAAATTGTGTTGGCTTAGGCCAAAAAACTTACTTTTCAGCACAGTTTGAGCTCACAGTGGTCCTCAGCCATGTGCTACAGTCTGAAAGCTGGAGGAGTGACAGGGTTCATGCCACTCATGGTGTGTGTCACCTGCCCATGTCAGTGACACCCCCTCACCTGAGGGGGCCTGGCCTGAGGGTGTGACAGAGGGGAGCTGCTCTGCATCCCTTGGCTTCCCACTCTGCTCACATCCCTCTGCCTGTTTGCAATGGGATGGTGTGACACAGGGAGTGGCATTTCAGTGTTTCTGAGGCAGGAGTTGGGCACTCTTTTTAAAAAAGAGAATAACAAGAAGTGACTCTTCCTGTGCTGCCCTGGCTCTGCCCTGCAGGCCAGGCTCCAAGTGGCACCTGACAAGACCTGTTTCACACAAGGGACTGCCCACTTCGTGGAGATCAGGATGGTGAGACACCTGCAGCACTTCCAAGTCAGAGCAGCTTCATTTCCCTTGTGATCACCAAAGGTTTTTTGGGGGTTTTTTTGCTTTGTTTTGTTTTGGTTTTTTTTGGTTTGTTGTTTATTTGCTCTCCAGAGTCTGAAATATTTTCCAAAATGTGAGTCACACGCTTCCCTGGTTTTGTCATCCCATTATCATGGAATCTTGGAATGCTTTGGGTTGGAAGGGACCTTAAAGTTCATCTTGTTCCACCCCCTGCCATGGGCAGGGACACCTTCCACCACACCAGGTTGCTCCAAGCCCCATCCAGACTGGCCTTGGACACATCCAGGGATCCAGAGGCAGCCACAGCTGCTCTGGGAAACCTGTGCCGGGGCCTCACCATCCTCACAGGGGAGAATTTCTTTGCAGTATCCCATCTAACCGTGCCCTTTGGCAGAAAGCCATTCTCCCTTGTTCTGTCCCTCCAGGCCCTTGTCCAAAGTCCCTTTCCAGCTCTTTTGGAGCCCCTTCAGATACTGAAGCCCAGGTTCTTGCTCAGGCTCCTTCTGAAACAAGCCCTGGAAGCAGTATCACTGCTTCTCTTTGAGGGGGTGAACAGGTACCATGGGTAAACCATCCAAGTTCATCCTTTGCCAAATGGGGGAGATGCTGAAGCAGCAGAAGTTGGGTTAGGTGCTCTGTGGCTTTTCCTGCTCTCCAGCCAGGAGGGACAGAGGACATCTGCCCCCCTCAGAGAAGACCACCCCCTAATTTGAGTGTAGGTGAACTCAAAACTACACTCAATTGTCTCTTGCAAAATTCTGAAGGATTATGGGTTGATAAGGATCTGTTCCCATAGGAATGCTGTAGGACAGGAGCAGGGAGTGGCAGACTCATAGCTGGAAGTAAGGCCTTAAACGTGTCCCTTGAGTTTGTGTTCTGTGCAGGAGGCCATGGGGGACCATGAGAACTGGCCTGTGCACAGAGGTGCTGAGGGGCTGCTGGGGTGGTGCTGGGGGCTCCTCTTCAGCAGCTCTTGATCCTTCATGGTAGCTCTTGGGAGCCAGCTGGGCTGCATTTCATGGTCCCGTGTTCCACACAGGAGCCCATGCTCCCTGCTGTCTGAAATTAAGGAGCTTCTTGCAAACTTGGGCTCAGAAAAACTCAGAAAAACAAACTCAGGGTAGGAAGTGGGAGGTGGCCTCATGTCAGAGGGTTTGGGCCTGTCTTTCCAGCTCTGATTATATCCCTAAAAGCTTGAGGCAAAAGCCTGATTTCCACCGTTGGCTGTAATGGAGCAGCAGTGGCTTCTCCTGAGGCAGCAATAAAGATAAATGATGCATTCATTTGTGTGATATATTTGGACATAGGATTCTATAAATATATTCAATTATTGATACAGTTTGTCAAGTGCCTTCTGAGTGGCTGGAAAACAGCTTCAGGAGTGTCTCTCTGGGCTTCTGTGTGGAGCCAGCTCTTCAGCGTGGTGTGGACCCATCTGTGCCATAAAGAGGCAGCAGAGATTTGCAAGACCTCTCTGCTGAAGCCTCTAGGAAACACTGTTGCTGGGAAAAAATGTGCATTTTTGTGCTTCTAAATATGAAATTGTTCAGGTGACTCCTGTACCATTAGATTCCTGCACTAGTGAAGCTGAAAACCAAATAAAATCAGCTGGTCTAAAGGCTGGCTGCTTTAAAAGACAGAGCATTGAGCTGTTTTCTCGGAGTTCTGGTGGTTGGGTTGGAGTTTTTTTATTTGATGTCCCTACTTTTCCTGATGCTCTTCCCTTTTGTCTGCAGGTCTGGGCCCAAAGAAGACAGCTGTCACTGAGGTGAGATGTGTAAAGCTTGGTTTGACAATCCTGTGCTGAGAAATGAGAACAGAGACCTAAGAAACTCTTCTGCCTGCCTTTTTCTGAGTAAAACTGCATTTCAGAATACTTATAAGTTTACTACAAAAGCAATATCTGTTATTTGGGAGAAATAAAATTAGTGGCAGGTCTCTAGGTCCCTTCACTGGCATCACCAAAGCCACAGCAGGGATGTGGAGGGACTGTGTCCATCATGTGGCCAGTTTTGGCTGTGTGATCCATGATGCCTCTACATGGGTGACTGAGGGCACCTCTTCCACACCAGCACCTGGAGGTGGTAACTGGAGAATGCATGTATTGGGCACTTACCCACTGGTGGGAGTGAGTCAGGGAGGCTGTGATTTGTGAAGCCCTAAAACAGGGGAACATCTCCAGGGACTCATCTTCTCTTGTAGATATTCCAGGTCGCAGGTTCTGAGTCACTGTTACTTTCTGGTGCAAAACTCTTCACAGTTGGCAGCAGGGAATCTAGCAGGAGGCTCTGTGCCTGAAAGCTGTTCCCTGAAACCCACACTCATGATTTAGGGCATCATGTTCAAATGATTTTTGTTTGATCCAATTTTTTACATCCTCCTTCCCATTCTTCACCTGGGATGATGAGCATTTGTATACATGAACAACAAAATATTTCCATAAAATTGCCTGGAATGTGACACTTGATCATTTTGAACCGGAATATGCGTAGTGAGAAGCTCAGCTTGTGTGGAAGTTGATTGCATTGTTCAGTGCACAAATAGGTCCACTTTTTCTTGCCCTGGAAACAGCCACAGGCAGAGCAGGAGACTGGAAGAGACTTTTGTCACTGCAGTTCCTATGATGGCAGTCCCTTCCCCCTGCCTGTGTCTGTTCATCGTGAGCCACTGGCAGGGCAGGACAGCGCAGCTTGGGCTTGCATGGAGTAAGATCTGACAGGTTGGTAGAAGGAGAGGCTGAGCTGTGCTGCTGCTCACAGGTGCTGGAGGAGTGCTCAGAAGCAAGGCTGGCCCTGCTAATAAAGTAGGGTAGGAAATGGGATTTTTGAAGGAGAACTCAGACTGACCTTTAGTATGAGAAGTATGAGCAGATGGATCAGAAATAACTGCGAGCTCTTGATCAAAAGCTAAAGTACAAAGAACCTTAGTCTGAGCAAAATTACCCATTTTGTCAGCTGTAGCCATTGTTTCAGAGCTGGGTCTCTGCAGCACTCAAGAGGGACAGTGATAGAACAGTGTCACTTGGGAAGTGACCTTGGATTTCTCTGCATACTGCTCAAAGGAACATCCAAAGCAGTTCTGCAGTGTAGCAAACCCTGAAATGATGCTGATCTCTCACCAACATTCCTGACTGTCTGGTGGGCTCCAGGATCTGTGGGGATCAGCTGGCAGAGAGCTTGGGTGTGGATGCAGTGTTGACTCCTGGTGGAGTAGAGTCCCTAGGGCTGCAAAAAGAGCTGCAGGGAACTACCTAACACCTGATTACACCAGGCTGTTAAAGGAGCAGCCACAACCTGCTGCCTCCTGGGCTGGCAAAGAAAGGCCTAGGCAGACTCAGAGGTAGGAGAGGGGGAGGGGACAGGAGCAGGTTGGTTGTCACCCTGAAGTGCTGGCAGTCTGTAGCATTTCTGCAAACTTCAGAACTTGTGGAAGAGACATTCCTGTGGCTCACCCTGTGTAGGCTCAGCCTTGTAATTGTAAACAGATGAGATCTTGCTTAAATGGATTATCTCAGTGTGAGTGGGGCTGGGTTATCAGCTGGTTCTGATCTCTCCACCAAAACGCGAGGTGTCAGTGTGACACCTGAGGGCGTGGGATTTTAAGAATAAATCTCTGTGGCTGTTTGATTTAATACATAACTGTTTTAAATCAATGGGAAATCACAGTCAAGCACCAGGGGAATCTTGGCAGCTGGATCTTTCCCAAGCTCTGCATCTTTGCTGAGGGCTCTGCCAGCAAGCAGTGGGGGTGTCAGGTGGAGTGTTGCTATTCTAACTCATCTTGAGGGGTGGAAGTATAATTCAGAGAGCTTCAGTTTCACCTGTTGGCACTCTGCAGGGTTTTCTCCAGCAGTATCATGATGCCTGTGTGCAGTACAGTGTGGGAATGTGGCTGTGCTGCTCTGTATGTGCTTGGTGGCAGCTCAGCCCGTGCCCTGACTTACGCTCTCCTTGCAGGGCCCATCACTGCCAGGACAGCCAGGCCAAGGAAAGAAGATTGGCCATCGAAGCGTGGATGCTTCTGGGGAAACCACCTACAAAAAGGTTTGGGTTTGGGGAGTGGGGGATGGCACCCAAGTGTAGGTCACAAGCTGAGAGAAGTTATGGCTCAGTACTTATTAATCTGGTTGAGATTTTTATGCAGCACTCTTGAACAGCACAATCCTGCAAATAGCAAATCTGAACCCCTAATTCATCTCTTCAGCAGCTGGGTAAATTTGGTTAGCAGTGTGTGGTGCCCAGACACTGCTAACCAAATCACAGACATGACTGTGTTGTAATGCAGGGGATGTTACTGTGATTATCTGCTGTGAAATGCTCACTGACTGCTCTTTTCCTTTTGCCAGACCACCTCATCTACTCTGAAGGGGGCCATCCAGCTGGGGATTGGATATACTGTGGGCAATCTGAGCTCCAAGCCAGAGAGAGATGTCCTGATGCAGGACTTCTATGTGGTGGAGAGCATTTTTTTCCCAAGGTAAAGAAAGGGAAAAGAATGAATGCATTAATTATTTCTTTCCTTTTCCCCTCACTGATTTTTCAAGAGAGTTTCCATCTGTCTTTAGATCAGAGTTGCATGCTCTGAATGTTTAAAATCTGCTCCGTGATACACAAACAGAACAGTGGGAAGTGTTGGAATCTGCAGCGCACTGGCCGGCAGGGAAGCACAGTACAAGATGCAGTACTGTGCGCTTCCGTTTGTTACCTTCCTACGTGCTTGTCTTTCTAGCTGTCCATCTAGAATTTCTGCCACAAAATCATACTATGTTTTAGATGGAAGAAACTCCTTCTGGGAGCTCTCTAACTGTGAATAAACAAAGCTCATAGAAGTTATGTTCTCTGTGTAAATATATTCTGCTTGGCAAGTGGTTGTTCTTTTAATCTCTGGAAATAGATTTTCGCAGATAGTTTGAAACCTGTTTTCCTGTTTTCCTACCACAGAGGAAAGGTGGTGGTTGTTGTTACAAAGATGTCTTTTTTCAAGGCTCAGTGCATCTGAAATACACAGTAGCTTTGGTGTGACTATCCATGTCTGGTGAATGGTAACAGGCCCTGCCCATGTGTGTGTTTTGTGCAGCGAAGGCAGTAACCTCACCCCGGCTCACCACTACGCCGACTTCAGGTTCAAGACCTATGCCCCAGTGGCTTTCCGGTACTTCCGAGAGCTCTTTGGGATTCGTCCAGATGATTATTTGGTATGGATATATTTTTAGATTTCTTTGTCTTTTCCTCCTTTATTTACCTTTACCATGAGGGTGATGAGCCCCTGGCACAGGTTGCCCAGAGAAGCTGTGGCTGCCCCATCCCTGGGAGTGTTCCAGGACAGGTTGGATAGGGCTTGGGGCAACCTGGTATAGTGGAAGGTGTATCTGCCCATGGCAGGGGGTGGAATGAGTTGGGCTTTAAGGTCCCTTCCATCCCAAAATATTCCGTGATTCCAAGTCTGAGTTTGCTGAATGGCAGCTGCCAGCGTGTACTGGAGGAAGGCCATGACCTGCACACAGTGTGAGCTGTGTAAGCCCTGCAATGGGCTTCCCTCTCTGGTCTTTGTGGTAACAATAACTTACTGTGTTTACAAGCCAAAGGAGTTGTGTTCTGCTGGGTGCGACCCTGTAATGTCCCCTGCGGCTCTAAGGACAAAGATGGGAATTTTTTCTTGTGTACTCATTGGAGAGCTATGTGAGTGTAGTTATTTTAATCATCTTAAAAGGACAGAATAAACCACAACTTGTTCTTGTGTTTCAAAAGCTTCTCAGAGCTGGAAAGGCTGGTTTTCAAATACCTTGGAGTACAAGCTGTTTGGGCTTTGAATGCACTGTGGTTGAATTTGGGCCCTTGCCTTTATGTAACGTCCTGTTCTATGTGAACTGGGGAAGGAAACACATCCGCAAATGCACACCCTCCCCTTTTGGAACAGCCCTTTTTGTGTGATTTCACCTGTAGATGGGGGTGATCACAGCTGAACACCTGCCAGTGAAACAAACCTGTGCCAGTGCCTGGTGGAAGGGTAACAGTGATCCCCTCCTGTGCCAGCCAAGTGCTGCTAAATGGATGGGTGTTAGGAACTGAGGACAGGCAAGGAGCTTACCTCAGTTGCAAAGGTCATGGCTCTGATTTGTTGTTTCTGGTTCTCCTGATTGTCTCTTTCCTGCCACAGCAACAAATGCATTTAATTATGCATGAGATTATTAACTTGATCAAGTCTGAGATTGTTAATCTGTGCAGAGCTGAAAGCAGTTTTCTTTACATAATTATGGGCATTTAATCTATTGTTCTGGTCACCTCTTCTCCTTATCTCCCTTCTCACTGGGCAGTTCTGTGATCCTGCCCTGAACCCACCTGACCCCTGCAGTATCTGGGTGAGCGCTGAGCTAAAAAGTGCATCTGCCTGCTTTGCTCTCTTTTTTTTTTTTTCATCTGCTGCTGGACAAGTCCTTATTTGAGGACCTGCTGTTTGCATCCTGATAACCAGACGTGCCCTCCCAGTTCAGGTCCCAATACAGAGCTCTTTGCTGTGCTTGAGCAGGGCTCATCCGTTTTGATTGCACACCTGGGATAAGACTTGTCACATGTTTTCAGCAGGATTGATGGAGTGAGGTGTGGCTGTAAAAATACAGCCGGGTTGGATGGAGCTTGGAGCAGCCTAGTCTGATGGAAAGTGTCCCTGCTCATGTATGGAATGAGATGATCTTTAAGGTCATTTCCAGCCCAAACCATTCTGGGAGTCTGTGGATCAGACACTGGCTTTTGCAGGGGAGCACAAGGCCAGGGGAGTCTGCTGAGAACAGCCAGTGCATTGTGTTCCCTCCAGCACAGTGATATGTGTGGTTCCCTGAGCAGACTGTGGTGTTTCCTGAAATCCTCTGTGTCCGTCAGCGTGTGCTGGGCTGTGCTCAAAGAGCCTGAATGTGATACGTGCTTGCAGGCACAATGGGAACAGATAAGATGTCATTATGAAGGCTGGATATTCCTGAAAGCAGATGATTAATGGGATACTGAGCAGTTGGGATGCTCTGAACTGTAATCTTAGTCTCTAATTATAAATTGTCCATCAGTTTGGCTGCTCACACCTAACCTATAATGAAAATAATTGTCACTTGAGCTTTGCTACTCTTTAATCTCCCAGGGAGACAACACGATTGGGAAGGTCCTTGAAGGCATAGAACTCAAATCTGCTATAAACAGGGGATAAAACATCACCTTCTTCTCTTTTTCTTGCCAGTATTCATTATGTAACGAGCCTCTGATCGAGCTGTCCAACCCCGGGGCCAGCGGCTCCCTCTTCTATGTCACCAGCGACGATGAGTTCATCATAAAAACTGTGATGCACAAGGAAGCTGAATTCCTGCAGAAGCTCCTTCCTGGATACTACATGGTGAGTATCATTCAGGACCTTGAATCCAGCTCAGCTTTCTTGTGGCAGCTTTTTTGTCATGGCAGAGCATCTCACAGGGCATGTCCTCCACCTGGGTGTGTTGTGGCCTGCCCCCATGCCAAGGACAGTGTTAACAGCATGTCATGAAGCCAGTCCCAGAAGCACAAATCACTGATTATTTGCAAACTCTGTGGGTAAAAATGAGGCAGATAATTGTGCCATAGTTTGGAGGCATGTTCTAGCCTCAGAGTGGCTTCCCAGGTGTGTGTTTCTGAGTGTTCTTTCCCCAGAACCAGTAAATTTCTCTTCGTTTGGCAGCATGCATCTGCCCCAGCCTACATTTGGGGATGGCTGCTGATTGCAGCCATCATAGAATAGTAAAACTCTTAAGGATGGAAAAGACCACCAAGATCATCAGGTCCAGCCTTCAGCTCAGCACCATTATGGTCACCACTAAAACTTGTCCTCAAGTGCCACAGCCACACATTATTTGAATACTTCCAAGAATGGTGACTCCACTACTGTCCTAGGCAGCTTGTTTTAATCCTTTACAACCTTTTCCATGAAGAAATTTCCCCTAATATCCAACCTAAACCTCCCCTGGCACAACTTGAGGCTATTTCCTTTCATTCTGTCCTTTGTTCCTTGAGAGCAGAGCCTGACACCCACCTGGCTGCACCCTCCTTTCAGGAACTTGAGGAGAGCAAAAGGTCCCCCTGAGCCTCCTTTTCTCCAGGCAATAATGCAACCTCTGTGTTTTTTTGGGGAAAGCACTGCTGTCCCTGAATCTCTGCCATTCCTGCTGTTTGTAATTCTGAGGATTGTTCTAACTCCCATCTCTGCAATTCCAGGCTGGAATCTCCCATGGTACCAGCCAGTTTTGCATATCATTCTGGCAGTGCAGGATATTGAGACCCAGAGACTTGCATTGGGTCAAGTAAATCAGACCAAAACCTGCTGTTTTGGTGTAAAAACCAGGAGCTGGTCTCCCTGCACAACTGTGCTGGAGGCTCCAGCTTTATGGATGAGGAATCTTGACATTCAGTTACAGCAACCAGGGATTTGTTTGTTGTGAAGATGCCAAGGAGAAGGTGATGAGAAGCAATGCTGCTGCCCCATCTGTGTGCCTTGTGCAGTGGGTTTATGTGATCCTACAGTGGTTCTGTGAAAATCCTTTCCTCGCTCAATATTTACTGGGGAAAATTTACCCAAGGGAGGCAGATTATGGGATGTCTGTGTGTTAGTGGCAGGCAGGCCAGAAAGAAATTCTGGTGGGAGGCCCTGGCACAGGCTGCTCAGAGCAGCTGTGGCTGCCTCTGGATCCCTGTGCGTGTTCCAGGCCAGGTTGGACGGGGCTTGGAGCACCCTGGGATAATGGAAGGTGTCCCAGCCAATGGCAGAGGGTGAAACCAAATGGTCTTTACAGTCCCTTCCAACCTAAACCATCCTGAGATTCTGTGAATCACTTACTTTTGCAGATGACACTCACATTCCTGGACAGGATGAATTTTCTTGGAAAACTGCCTGTTGCCTAATGTGTGTAGTAAATCAGGCGTGGGGTTTTGTGGGGGAATGAAGTTGCATTGTTAATCCTGCCACCATCAGTCAGTGAATTAAACTGAACTTACCTGTGTGATGCAGAGTTCTGAGCGACCTGTTGCAGCTTTCCACTGTCTCTGAGTTCTGTGGTGCTACCCCTGATCTCCCTGCTGCTCCTGGGAAACCACCCATATCAAAAGAGTCAGGGAAAGGAAGCAGGGTGGTTTAATCCTGAGTTACTTTAAAGCTGTTTCCATTTACCTGCCTCTATTACTTTTGGCACTCTCCAAGAGGGCTCACTGCTGTGCTCAGGTGGGTGAGTTGAAGGGAATGAAATTTTAATACAGTCACGTTTCTTCTGTCTGTCAGAACATGTCAGCTCTGTCCTTCCTGCCACAGCATGCAGAGAAGTTCTGTTTCCTTCCCAAATGTGCCCAAAGCTGAACAAGCAAATCCTGCCTGTCATGTCATTCCTAATTATTCTGCTGCCTAAAGAAAGGAGATGACAGCAGAACAGGATATCCGTGCTCTCTGGTTGACTGCTTTAAAAAGCAACTCTGCAACAGGAGGAGAACATTTATGTTGTTTTGCTTAAAAAATAACCCTGTCCCTTGGTTTATTTTGGGCTGGAGAATGGCTCTTGATTCTGACAAGAATCAAGAAGAGATAAAGAAAGCTGTTATTTTTAAGCTTGAAGTTCCCTTTTATTGTGTTTATTTCTCTCCCAGTTTGGTTTCCTTTTTTTAGCTGCTGTACTTGAGAAAAACAGGGGATTTCCGGACTTGGTTATTTGCCCAGAGAGTGCTGAACATCTCAGACCCTGTATTTTCAGGTCCTAAAGCCACTGAAATGCAGGACTTTGTCGAACGTGTACACTGAGCTCCTGTTAAGTTCAGAAAACCTCTCAGCAAAGAATCTCTAGTCCAACTGTTGACATGCTTTGTGGTGAACACAGCAGGAATTTTCTGCTCAAATAACCTTCCTCCATGCTTTTTTCCCACCCTTGCTACAGAATCTGAACCAGAACCCCCGGACACTGCTGCCCAAGTTTTATGGACTGTACTGTGTGCAATCTGGGGGCAAAAATATCCGCGTGGTCGTGATGAACAACATCCTGCCTCGAGTGGTGAAAATGCACCTGAAATTCGATCTCAAAGGTTCAACATACAAACGCCGGGCATCCAAGAAGGAGAAAGAAAAGTCCAGCCCTACGTACAAGGATCTGGACTTCATCCAAGACATGCCTGAGGGCCTGATGTTGGATGCAGACACCTTCAGTGCTTTGGTGAAGACATTGCAGCGAGACTGTCTGGTAAGGAGGGGGCAGCTCAGGGACAGAGTAAGGAACCTCTGTGGCTCTCAAGCATGAGGAAGAGCAATTCCCAGTTGAGAACCTTGCTAATCTGCTGACCCCAGAGTAGAATCAATCCTTTCTCCTGCCCTTTTCCCTAAAAAAGCCAAGCAGTAGAGTTGGATCTCCTGGCAGCCTCTGAGGACTGAGGCTGTTCTCCTTTGCCTGGTGCATCACACTTAGGCTCCACTTGCAGCTGCTCTGCCAGAGCATTTTCCCAATCAATGTGCAGCAGATACAAGGGTGTTGTTTGCAAGCCTTCAGGCCTTTGGTGTGATTGTGGGATGGCCAAACTCTGTGCAGTCAAGCCCAGAGGTGATTGTTGGTTCAGAAACATTCAGGCTCTGTCAGAGGATTTGTTAGTGGGGATGTGGATGGGATGCTTTGCTTTGATTGCTTTGATTCCATGCTTCAGAGTCTGTATTTCTGCTGCTGGCTTGATATTTTGTCTTTGTTCTTGACTTTGATACTAACCTGTAGGTATTGGAAAGTTTTAAAATCATGGACTACAGCCTCCTGCTTGGGGTTCATAACATAGACCAGCACGAGCGGGAGCAGCTGTCGGAGGGAGCCCACAGCACGTCGGATGAGAAGCGTCCTGTGGGGCAGAAGGCCCTGTACTCCACAGCCATGGAGTCCATCCAAGGAGGGGCTGCCCGGGGGGAGTCCATAGACACCGACGACACGTAGGTGAAATCTGGGCTCGCTCGTGCTGCTGGGACGGGCAGAGGTGGAGGCTGGAGTGGGAAATCTGTATTGAGGCCCACAGAAACTGTTCAAGGGAGCAGCTCTCATGGGATTTTGAGAGTGCTGCCATTGTGGGGGGAAAGGGGGAAGCCAGGGTAGGAAATAGTTCTGTAAGTCTATGACCTCACAGCAGTCTCTCTTCTTAGGCCAGGCTCTACGTTGTTAGCTTGTGTAACAAGCCTTGAAACATCCACCCATGCCCTGGTGGGTATGCCCTGGGGAGGAGACACTAGCTCGGTTCTAGCTTAGCACCCAAATACTGGAGCAGAAGTAGGGATCAGCTCAGTAGGAGCTTGCAGTTCTCTATCACTCCCACCTTTGGAATCCCTGGCAGTTCCCTGAAGCCATTCCAGTGCAATTAGCAGATAGCAGTGCAGCCAAGTGCTGGTGTCACTGTTGGAGCTGGAGGCTGGGGGTTGCCCCAAGCTTGTGCTGTGCTTGATCTGTGGTTCCACCTGGATCCCTGGCTCTTGGGCCAAGGAATGGTGGAGTTTGCTGCTTGCTGCTGTCTGAAACCAGCTGCTGTGGGTTTGATGGAAGGTTAATCCTGAGAGCTGAGATAATACCATGGTGTTTCCAGTCCTTCAGGCAGCATCAACAATTGCATTGGCTGTCTAAAAGAGTGTCTGGTACTCTTGTGCTTTGGTTGTTTGCTGGTGCTGATGGCCGCTGCACTTTTGGCAGGATGGCATCTGTGTGGACAGGACTGGAAATACCCTTGTCCTTAAGGGTTTACTGCCCTAGTGGTAGACAGCTCTCGCTGACCTAAATAAATAATCTGATCCCCAGAATAAAGTAGGCAGGAAAAAACTCCATGGTGCTTTCTGGCCCAGGCAGAGCTGTGCTATACAACACAGGTTCTGTCATGACAGTGGTGTTTGGCCATGCAGGCGGTGACCCTGGGACACCTGGGGTCAGGCCAGGTCAGTCGGTGACTCCCATGGTTGTGCACAAAGTGACCACACCGGTTTTAACGTGTCTGACACCACACTAGAGCCCCTTAGCACAGCTGCTGTTGCCCTTCCCCAGAACTTGGGTGTCACGGGTGCTCTGGCTGAGGCTGCATCTGCTGAAGTTCTGCTTTACCTGCAGGATGGGAGGGATCCCAGCAGTGAATGGCAAAGGAGAGCGTCTCCTGCTGCACGTAGGAATCATAGATATCCTGCAGTCATACAGGTAGGTAACCTGGCAGTGTGTCTTTTCTGCCTAATAACCTCTTTTAGTACCAAATGAAGGCAGGGAGGATGTCCTCTCCTTGAGACTGTGAGGATGAGTAGATATGGCTGCCCCAAGCTGGTCATGGGCTTCCATCATGTCCTTAGAACAGCTGGGGACACACAGCCTTTTGTCCAGGATGATGAGCTGCTCATAAAGAAGTAGTTTCCCACCTCAGTGTGGGAAGCATATCTCCAGGGATGGAAGGTGCACCTCTTCTAGCCTAGCTCCTCCTTCCCTGTGGTGTTCCCAGGCACTCCTGACCCAGCTGGGGAGATGCTGGAGAAAGCCCAGTTGTGGTGACATTGGCAGCGCAGGGACCTCCTCCATAGGATATAAAAGGGGGCTTGGTACAGAGTGCATGCCTGTATCTGTATCTTTATTTTTCTCTCCACTTCTCCTTGGAATTAGGTTCATCAAGAAATTGGAACACACCTGGAAGGCCCTTGTCCATGATGGGGTAAGTGCCTGTGCAGAGGCAGGAGTTGTCCAAGTCTCGCAGGTGGCTATTTATAGAGCCTGACCTGGCACAGCTGCAGCTGATGAAAGGAGCAGTTCTTGCCTCTCATTCCTGCACAGCAGGGTGGTGCCACTTATTCCCAGCCAGGTTTCCTTGCTCAATCCAGCTCCTCACATGTTGAGCTCTTGTGCTCACAGCTTTCCTCCCCTGTTCCTGTCTGTCCCTCTCCTCCTCCCATGACACCAGGAGCACACACTGGTGTGTGTTCCTGGGCTGTCAGGAGCCCTGTGCTGTTCTCTTTGGTGACTGGCTGTTTTCACTTCAGCAAGCTCTCTGCCAGCAAATCCCTTTCCATGTTTCCCTGCTGGCTTCATTCCTGCAGCAGCCGGGTGGGTGTTTCTGAAAGAGCAACCTCAGATGTGGGAACCGTTTTTCAACCTTGCATTTCCTGGCTTCCCTTAATGTGGCAAAGGAAATGTGGAGATTCCAAATCATGGGAGCACAGTCAAACATCAGAAGCAGAAAGAGCTTTGGTTTTACTATTCTAAACAAAAATATTTCAAATGTATTGAGACCCTTGGCTAAACTTGGGTGTCTGCATGACATGCAAAGGTATCCAGGTGTGCTTGGAATGGCAGCCAGCAAAGCCAGAAGAAATTTCATGTATGCAATCAGGCCAGTGTTTAAAAAAAATCCAGGAAGTCTACAAAGGAATAAAGTCACCAAAATCCATTATAAAATCACAGCAAGAATATAATCAAATGCAATCAAAGGCAATGCTTCAGGGTTATTTATAGCATTAATTAGTGTTTCAGTTAAGCCTTTCCATTTTAAGGCTCTGTCAGTGCTAAATGTTGGAATAAAAAAGACTGTGTTGGTTGTTAGGGAAATTCTGCCTTGAGGGATCATTTTAAAATTAAACAGTTGCTTCTTGCTGTTGTAGGACACGGTGTCAGTACACAGACCCAGCTTTTATGCAGAGAGATTCTTCAAATTCATGACCAACACAGTATTTCGAAAGAATTCCTGTAAGTACCAAGTGCAGGGGCTGATGTGCTGTGAGCCTTTACCTTGGCCTTGCTGCTGCAGCTCTCAAAAGGAGTCTGAGCTGGAACCTGAGCAGGGTTTTCCACTGTGGTACAGCTGAGAGAGCTGGGGGTGTTCAGCCTTCTCTCAGGAGACTTTAGAGCCCCTCCCAGCACTTAAAGGGGGCTTAGAAAAAGGAGGGGAAGGACTTTTTATGCCGGCAGATAGTGACAGGCATGGGGCAATGTTTTTGAGCTGCCAGGGTTAGATTAGAAGTTAGGAAATCAGAGGGTGGGCAGGCCCTGGCACAGGGTGCCCAGAGCAGCTGGGGCTGCCCCTGGATCCCTGGAAGTGTCCAAGGCCAGGCTGGACAGGGCTTTCAGCAACCTCCTCTAGTGCCCATGTCCTTGCCCATGGAGGGGGTGGAATGAGATGGGTTTTTAAGGTCCCTTCCAACCCAGAATATGCCATGATACAGAGCAAAACTAAGAATTGCAGAGCCCTCAGATTGTCACGGCTTGCCTTGGTCTGCTCAGACTCCCACGCAGTCCCTGCACCTGATCTGGGTTCAGTCCAGGAGGGATGTATGTGAGGGCAGAGCCTCTCCTTGTGAAGAGAAAAATTCCTTTGGTGTGACAGTAGCTGGTGGTGGTACTTTGACTGTCTCTCTCCCTCCCCCAGCTCTGAAGTCATCCCCCTCAAAGAAAGGGCGTAGTGCCTTGCTGGCCGTGAAGACGGCAGGTCCCACCGCGGCGTTCTCAGCCAGCCAGCTGGCCTCTGAGAAGGATGACACCCAGTACGACCTGCGGGCAGCCAGGAGTTACCCCACGCTTGACGATGAAGGTGACAGCCCCGCTCCGGGTGTTGGCTCTGTGGTTACCCTCTCTTTCCTAGCAGTTCCTTAGGATCCTCCCTTGTTCTCATCAAGTTCCCCACTGTGCACCAACTGCAGATCTTTCCTCATGGATAGCTCTTCATTGCATGTCTTGCTGTGCTTTGCAGGTGCTAAACCTAACCAGGACAGGGAAGAAGGTAAGAGTACATTGTTTTGTTGCAGCACCAGCAGGCACTTGATGCTACACCTCTGCATCAAAGGAGACCAAATCCCTTCTTTGCAGCACTGTGGGCTTCTGCACTAAAAATGGTCGCCTGCATCACTGCTGCAAGACAGCTGCTGCCAAGGGGCACCATAAGTCATAGCCCAAAAGCCAACAAAAAGTTGCATTTTCTACTGTTTAAAAAATATGGGGGGGGTGTGGGGGTGTGTGACTGGGAACTGCAGCACTCCAATGACACTGTTTGGGCAGTTATAACAGGCAGGATCTTGCCATTGGAAAACAGAGGAATGGGCTGGTTCTGTACTGCCTTTCCTTCACTTCTATCTGGCTACATCTATCTGACAAGCTCCTCCAGTGCATGGGTGTTGGATTGCTCCCTGTGCAAAACACTGGACACTCAGTTCATGTCTTAATTCACTTGGATATTTATCCCTGGTGATCCAAGCCTTTAATCCAGCTTTGGTCACCATGAGAAGTCTTCACTGGCATTCTATTCCCTGCCTGTTGTGCTGGAAGTGGTGCTGACTGGCTCTCTCCAGAGGACACCTTGGGAGAGGCTGTCATATTCATGGACTCAGCTAAACTTCCTGCCTGTCTGTGGTTTGAGTGCCCAGTCCCAGTGCGGGCGTGCAGGTTCACAGTGGAACAGCCTCACAAGGGGCTGGTGTAGTTAGTGTTGGTGTTTGACTGAATCATATCTTTTTCCTGCCTCTCCCCTGCCCTGCTGTGGGCCAGCAGGCAGGCCAGACCTACTCCCTTGCACTCCTCCTTCCTTTGAAGAAGCTACCACAGCCTCCATAGCCACGACACTATCGTCAACATCTCTCTCTGTTCCTGAGCGATCCCCCTCGGAGACCTCTGAGCAGCCCAGGTACAGGTGAGGACACTTCCCCTGCTCCCACTGGTGTCGAGTGGCTGCCATTCCTCTCCGTGCTGCAGATCCCAGCAGGCTGCCCTGCACACTGGAATGCTAATGACCAATTTTAATTAAATCTCTCCTGGGAGCAAGCAGACACAGCTTTGAAGGGATTAATTATTGCTGGCAGAAGTGTCAGCTGTTAAGTAGAACATCTCCCTCATGGGATGTAGAGGTAGATTTGGGGACAGTGGAGGATTTCTGGCTTAAATTGCTCCTCCAAACTCTCGTGTTTTCTTTCTGCAGGAGGCGTACACACTCCTCAGGGCAGGATGGCAGGTGAGAAATGTGTCTCCTATCTTCTTGTCTCATCTTCTCTCTGCTGAACAGAGACCTGGTGTTTATCCCTGTGCAAAGGTCTCTTAGAGGGCTAAGTGGGAATTTCAGCAGCTCCAGGATTTTGGCATGGATGCTGAGCTGCTTCTGCAATCAGACAATCCCCATTTCTTACACAGAATTTTCTTTGCAAAGCAGATTTCCTAGTGCTTTGAAAATACTACAGTTATTTGATAGGAAAGGGGACAACAGTGTTGTCCAAATTTATCCACCCACCCAGCACCAGAGTCAAGGAACATCATTTAAGTCCCTTTAAGCGAGTAAGTGAGCCCTGATAGGAGGAACATTCCTCCTCTGACCATCTGCTTGTGGCCTGGGCAAAGTGAAAGGGCTTTGACTTTGTTAGGCACTAAGCACCCTCAGCCCCCACAGAAGTAGTTTCCAGTGTTTTCAGAAATCTGTGAGTCTTCTTCCCTCCTGTGGTGTCTCAGAGCCAAGGGCAAGGAAGGACAGAAATGCTGTGTTGCAGAGGGGTGTCTGATTTTAGAGGCTCATATCATGAAATTATTGTGCATTATTGTGGAAATATTTTGCACCAGTAAAAATTACTCCATTGCCCATGTCAGCAGGATCTGCACGAGGAGCCAGCAGATGCTGCTGGCTTTGCCCTCACTTTCCAGGACATTGTGTAGGTGTAGTAGGCTTTGAAATTACATCAGAGACTCAATCCTGGGATGTGCCATAGGCAGAGGAGCCTGACATGCTGATGTCCTCTCTCCCTGCAATCAGTGTTTGGTGCTTGGGAGGAAAGGTCTTTGGAAGATGAGAGTTTTCCCCATGTTACAGGCATCTGCTGTTGTTCCAAGCTTTGAGTGATTTGCTGACATGCACTGTGAAAAAATCCCTTTCTGTGATAATTCCTAATGAAAATACCTCTGTATGCTGCATGTTGCTGAATCCTGGTAAATTCCTGTCCCTGGAGGGCATGGACCTGCTCACTGTGTGAAGTGTCAGGGTCTTGTGAAGCACCTCATATCCTGCAGAATCCAGTGTTAGAAATTGCTGAAAATTGGAGAGTTAAACCCAGGTCCCAGTGGTGGGGCCCATGTGGCAAACGCAGTGACTTCATCCAAAATAGTTCAGACTCAACGATACCTCATGGAGGGAGGGAGCTGCTGTAGTATGTAACTGCTCATCCAGAAATAGGTCAGGTGAATCATTGACCTGGGAGCATTCAGGGAGCTCAGTGGCTTGGTCAGAGCAGATCTGTCTGTCACAGATTTGCCAGAGCTACACTGATCATCTGCAGCTATGGCCACCTTTGCTGTTTTCTGCCTAATTTGTCCCTTTCTAGTACCAGTGCCTCCATGTGCCCTACACATGGACCTGTGCACTTACGGAACTCTCTGATGAAAACCAGTGCAGGCACAAATTTATTAAAGTAAGAATTTACATTCCTGAGCTTAGATGGAAAAATCCTTACCCAATTTGCTCAAGAATGTGTCACACCTCTGGTTATTCTGGTCTGCTGGGGAATTCACTCCAGGTTTATGAGGTCCAGCCCTGTGAGGAAGAGTGTAGTGAGTTCCTTGCATGGAGCTGGACAGTGCTTCCCACTGGTTCCAGCTCTGGTCAGAGCCAGCCTGGAGCAGGGCAGTGCTGTCAGTGAACCCAGAGCTCAGCCCTTCTCTGACAACTGCCCCTCAGTTTAGCAGGCTCCTGCTCCTCCTTCCCATAGGGACAGTGGAGCCAGCCCTGCTGGCACAAGTAATTACTTTAATAGTATGAGGTATTAAAGTGAAGATTGTCAGAAACAGTTTCAGAGTGTGCAGATAAATCTGATCTCAACCCTGGAGCAGCTTTGGTGTGGTGGGAGTCTTGAAAGAGGCTCTGGCCTGGTGCCAGGCTAACTCTGGACACAAGTTTTCCCTAGAGGTCAGTTCTCTTTGCTCCAATGCTCCATCTGACACTGCCCATCTTTCCTGCAGCACTAGCTGTTTAACTCCTTTGCTCTTGTCCTCTTTTCCCACCTTGTTATTCCTGAGTGCTGCAATCTTCCAGGACTGACTCTTTCCTGGGAGGTTTGGTTATCGAAACCCTCAGTCCTGGGAGGTCTGAGTGCTCCCCTTGAGCTGAAATCAGCCACTAAGTCTGTGCTGGGAGTGCAGTGCCACAGTAGCAGCAGCAGCTGTGTGCTGGGGCAGAGCTGCACAAGAGGCTTGGCTGGCTCAGAACTGATTCAGCCTGACCTAAAATTGAAGGCTATGCATAACTCATGCCCAGCTGAGTCTTTGGGCCTGTCTTTTTGGTTTCCAGGTCACACGAGGAGGTGCGGGTCGAGGAGGAGGTTCAGCAAATCAGCGTCGAGCTGGAGCCCAAGTGTGATGTTGAGATTGTAGCTCCTGAAGAAGTCAAAGAGTGAGTGTTTTAGAGTGTTGAGCAGAGCCTACACAGTGGGTTTTGAGCTGTGGCTGCTTGTGCTGGAGGCTTTTCTGGGCTCCAGCTTTGCTGGAGTCATGGGTGTTCGGTGAGGCTGAGCACAGTTCTGACCTGACCTGCCCTGACGTGACCTTTCAGGATGTGACAGCATAGCATCTTCCGCTCCTCTGTAATAAATCAGTTTTGCTTGCTCCTGTCCTAACTGCAATGACTGGACTGTCAATTTCTTTCCCTTCTGCAGAGAGGCAGCTTCTTCAGCCTGTGCCATTGTCACATCCACAGCCACCGTAGAGGTGGAGACGGCCAGCCAGGCCTCGGAACCAGCCAGCCAGGCCTCAGATGAAGACGACGTGCCAGTCACAGACATATACTTTGTAAGAGACCTTCTCCACCTGACCCTTGGGGTGTGATGGGAAGGGTTGGACAAGGCTGTCAGTATCTGTTCCAGGCAGTTGGGTGCAATGGCTGCCCTGCAGCATCTTGATGTGGAGCACCTTGATACCTTGGTGCTGGGTGGGTTTTTTAATGCAGGGAGCTGGATTAAACTTGGAGAACCCAAAACAGCATCTAGTGGGGCTCACACAGATGGCACTCCTGCTGTGGATGTAGCTGTAGCTCTGCTGCTCTACTTCGAAGCACAAGTGCTTATCTAGGCCAGCACATTTGTTCCTGGAACAAGGCAAAGTGATGTGGGTACAACAGAGAGGTTCTTCCTTCCTCAGCCAGAGATCTTGGCTGCTTTCCTGACATAAACATGGCCTAGACCCAAAGGGAGGTGATTACAGAGGGTGACCTTGGGCTCTGGTGAACTCCGACTTTTCCTTTCCCTGCAGGCTGCATTAGGTGATGCAGTGGGAGTCTAGTGCTGAGCCAGGGAGTAAGTTGGTTGTTGGCAGCAGAGTGCCGTGGAGCCTGGCGCTGGTCCTCACTCAGCTCCCACAATGGCTGAGCAACTTCTGCAGACCAGAGAAGAGGTTTTTTAGCAACACGTACCTGTCCCATGGATTCCCAGAGCAGAGCTGAGTGCCTGTCCCATGAGAGCTGAACTCTCTCTCGTGCCTGAGCACTGGAACCCTCATTAAAAGAGGTGCCCGGCTCCTCCCTGCTCCGACTTGTTGCTGTTGGTTCTGTGGTGCTGGAGATGACCTAAGCCCATGCAATGGGCTCCTTCAGGCTAAACTAAAATGCAGCATTGGCCTTTCCCTGGGCTCTTGTGACTCTGCTGCAGAGCTGCTCACTCATTGCCTAGTCATTCTGAGGCTCGTGGGAGCTGTGGAAGGAATCAGCCCTGTTTTACAGCTTGTTTGGGGTTGGATGCATGCTGTTCAAAATGCAAACAGCTCCTCTAACACTGCTGCCCCCTCCTTGCCCGTGGATGGCAGTTGTGTGCAGGCAGATCCTGCCTGCTCCCCTGGCAAGTGTCTTCTAGCAAGGGTCAGCTGTTCTTCCTCCCTGTCCCTGGGCATATGGACTCCCCCAGCTTGAGGGGCACCTCTGTCCAAGAGAAAATTCTGCAGTGTGTTCACAGAGTGTGACTGACTGCTCATCAGCATTTCATACTTCATCTGAGTCTGAGTTTTGCATTAAATGTGTGTCGTGTGCTGTGGAGTGTTTGTCACTGCTGGGATGAAGGGAAAAGCTGATTTGAGTTCCCATGGGTGCTGTCCTTGGAAAACCACTTGAGCTGGAGCTCAGGTGAGGTTGCACACCTGTGCTTAAGTAGCACCACAGCTGCTCCTGCAGGAGTGCTCAGGGGCAGTGGTGGGTGAAGGGATGGTGTGTGCAGAGGAGGATTTGGCCAGTCCCAGGGGACTGTGATCTGATCACTGGAAGTCCACTCCTGGAGAGCACTTCATTCTCCTGTTCATCCCCAGGGAATAAAAGTGCAGAGTGTGGCAGGGCATGGGCACCGCTCTTCCCTGCACGGCTTTCCCACCTGCTCACCTGTTCAGGCCTGGAGTTGCCCAACCCCTTGTTTTTTGCTTTCTCTTTCATCCTCTCTTTCACATCACCCTTTTTTTCCTCTGTTTCCTTTCTCACCTCACTTGTCCTGGGGCCACCCAGTTCACAGATGGGAGGTACTGGATTTACTCTCCCCGCCAGCGCAGACTCCGAACTACCTCGCATTCCTCTGGGATTGTAAGTGACCATGCCAGCACAGCATATAGGGGAGCAGAGCTGCAGCTTTGAAACACTGGGGCCAGCACCTCATTTCTCTCAACAGCTGGGGCTCTGGATTGAGTGGGCATTAGGAACCAGCCCAGCAGAAATAGGGGAAGCATGTTGAAATGACACCAGTGGATCTCCTTGTAGGATCTGAGAGAATCATGAGCTCTGTCCTGCTTTTATGCAGACTGGTGACAGCTCCTACCCTGGAATGGGCCATAGTGTCACCCAGCCTTTGGGAAAAGTAACAGCAGCGAGGCCCTCACACAGGTTACCCAGAGAACCTGTGCTTGCCCTCTCCCTGGAAATGTCCAAAGTCAGACTGGATGGGCTTGAAGCAACCTGGGATAGTGGAAGGTGTTCCTGTCCATGGCAAGGGGGGATAGTGAGTGATCTTCCAACCCAAACTGTTCAGTGATTCTAAGTACCAGATCTGGCCAGAGAGGCACCAGCCTCTATAGGTGATGTCAGACTCAGCAACTTCAGCCCAGGGAGAGGGTTTTAAAGACACCATTAAGATGTTCTGAAGCTTCTAAAACTCCAGTTTAGCCTGTTGCCCCAAGCAAACAGAGCTGTTTTGGCTTGTGAGGAGCAGCTCAAAAACCAAATGAGGCAGGAGCTGGTGCTGAGTTAGGGCTGGTTAGAGCTCTCCAGCCCTTCTCAGCATCACCAGTGTGCTCCCTCCTCACTGAAGGTGTTCTGTGAGCAGGGAGGACTTTCCTTTCCAAAAGATGCAGGGAAGCATTTGAGCTTTTAGGGGCTGAATCTAGGTTTAGCATTTATCTTCTCAGGCTTTGGGAAGCCAGGGGGTGGTGGCAGTGCTGCCAGAGCCTCGCTGGTGAAGTTTGGCGCTCCCATTTGGGTTATAGGCAGGATGCATGGGGAAGCAGGGTCAGGAATGTGCCCCTGGCCATGGCTGATGGCATGAGGAAGGTGCTGCACTTCCATGAGCAAACAGGCAACTCCTCCTGCCCCTCAGCTGGGTTTGGCTGTTCCAGCACTGGGAGGGGTGATGGCAAGCACTGGATGCTCCTTTATATCCTGCAGCTCCCTGCATGCATCCAGGCTCCTAAAAGGCTCTGAAAGAGACCATGGCCAGAGCATGGGGTTCAGTCAGGATGGATGAACCATCATGGATGAAAAAGAGGATGTGGAACAATCTTGATGTGGTGAGGAGCTTTCCTGTACCTCTGACAGAGCCCTGTGAGAAGCTCCAGACAGGGGCTTCTCAACCTTCCTTCCTCCTAGCAGTCTCTACTAATGGAGCTGTAGTTACTGGAGGGTTCAGCGTGTGGAGCCCAGTGCTTCAAAGCTTCTCTGACTTCTTATAGTTCATTGTACATTGTAGACTGTCACACTCAGTTCCTGGGCTGGGAACACTTCAGGCTTCTTCCAGGCACCCAGTTCTGCTTCTCTTTCTTTGCAAATGCTAGGCTGGGTCAAAGTGGGGACTCTGTGGGAGCTCCCTTGGAGACAAAAGAGCCTGTTTGCAATGTAAATGGGCCCCCCTGGGAACCCTGGAAGCAGAGACCAGCCCTTGAATCTGTGCTGTGTCAGCAGCAGAGTGTGTCTTCTCACACCAATACCCAGTGCTGTGATAACTGTCCTTCAAGGCATACCTCCTTCCCCTCATTCTTTCCAGGGTCTGGTTGTGTTTTGCCTCCTGTGTTGTACTTGTTCCCATCACCCCACTGTCCCCAAAATCTCAGCAATAACTGTTTCCTTTCTGTGGCCACCATCCACCATGGTCTCACCTCAACTCCACTGCCTTCTGCAGAGAAGGAGGAAGGCACAGCAAACAAATCCAGTTTCCCTGTAAAAGCCTGGACACCACTTTGTAGCATGCACAGGGCTCTGGAAACGGGAGGGTGACAGCTGGTAGCAGGTAGCAGGAGCTGTTACTGCTCTTAGGTAAGTCACTTCCCAAATCTCTCGATTTCTTTGGAGCCGGGTGATGCCATGGCAGGGAGCTGAGGTTCCCCTGACATCTCAAAAGCTCTAAAACTCTGTCCCTACAAGAGGAGAGGTTGTGCCATCCCCACTGCAGCTGGCACAGGTGCCATGTCCCAGTTGGCAGGAAGCAGGTATGTGTTGAGGATGAGGAGGGCTTCTCTGCTGAGAGCTGGCTCTGGGCTCAGTCCTCTCCCTCCAGGTGGACAGCTGTTCTTACTGTATTGTTTCCTACTCTTTTTATTTTCTCCTTTTATTTTTTCCTCTTCTCTCCTTTGCTCCCTGCTCTGCTGCTGCTCTCCCTGCATTCTCCCTGCCGTCTCTGGCCACTCTGGCAGCCGACAGACGAGAGGAGTTGGGTTTACTCCCCGCTCCACTATAGCGCTCAGCTCCACTCTGTCTCCGATGAGGAGAGCGATACAGTAAGTGTCCAACAGCCATGTGCTGGGTGCCCGGTGGGTCGAGGTCAGCAGAGTCTGTGCTCCCTCTGTAAAGTCAGTTTGGCCTCTAGCAGTGTGGGGCTCCTGCATGGCTGCAGCAGAGCCCAGCTGCCTCTCAGGTCAGCTCTGTGCTGGCAGAGCCCCGGCCTGCTCAGCAAGGACTCTGGCTTATTCCTGGTTGTTTGGTGCAGGGAAAGCTTTGGAGAGCTCAGGTTTTCCAGACGTTGCCAATTCTGGAGGATGTAGAACAGCCTCTCTGGTTGTGCTGGGAAGTTGGTGGGACGCAGACCTGATTGATGTGGGCACTGGTGCTCAAGGGTTGATCCTCTCTCCCCTCATAACCAGAAAGACATTCAGGGGCTGGAGCATGTCCAGAGGAGGGAGTGGAGCTGGGGAAGGGGCTGGAGCACAAGTGTGATGAGGAGAAGCTGTGGGGAGACTCAGCCTGGAGAAAAGGAGGCTCAGGGAAGATCTTGCTCTCCACAACTCCCTGACAGGAGGATGCAGCCAGGTAGTGGTCAGGTTCTGCTCCCAAGGAACAAGGGACAAGACAAGAGGAAACAGCCTCCAGCTGTGCTAGAGGAGGTTTAGGTTGGATATTTTGTAATGTTTTTTGACTGAAAGGGGGTTGTCAGGTATTGGAACAGGCTGCTCAGGGCAGTGGTGACATCACAGTCCCTGGAAGTGTTCAAATGATGTGTGGCTGTGGCACCTGGGGACATGGGTTAGTGGTGAACATGGTGGTGGTACTGGGCTGATGGCTGATATGGGTATTGGAGGTCTTTCCCCACCGTAACAATTCCATGATTCTGTGACTCTCTTCTCTCTGCCTCTTGCAGTAATCTCTATGCAGACACAGAAGTCCCAGAGAGCAGCGATTCCCTCTGCAGGTCGATGTGTTCCCTTTTCGTTGATGCAGCCATTCCAGTGGGATGGGGAAGAGCTTGCTGACACCAGTATTGCTGCACTGCAGGATCCTGGGTACTGCGTTTCAGAATGGAGCAAAACTATAACCATGTATTTCTACTTACCCCAGATGTGGGCAGCAAAGAAACCACCCACTCACCCGCAGCTCCCAGCAGAGAATTCCAGCTGGGTGTAGAGAATCCTGGGTAGTAACACAGTGTTTTCCAGACGTGCACTACCGTAGCTACCTATCCATGTGTGATACTGTGAACCTTCTTAATTTTTTAATCATGTATTTATTTCTTTTATCTTTGCACAGAGACAGCACAAATGTGCTTTTTTAAAGATTTAGTTTACTGCACTTTTTTTTCTTTTTTTCCTTTTTTTTTTTTTCCTTTTTTTTTTTTTGTCATATATTTGTGCATCAAAGAGGAGCATGAGACTTCACTGAAGAATGGGTAGGAGCACGTTGCTGGGGAGGGCAGAGAGCGGAGTGGCTTCATGTGAGGCAGCAGTGTGGTCTGACCAGCTGAGGGAGTCAGGAGGTTTAAGGCTGTCCAGACTCTGCCACGGTTTTTCCAAGTGGCCCAAGGCGAGTCACTAAACCACTCTGTGCCTCAGTTTCCCCCGTGCTAATGGGTGCACAGTACCTGCTTCTGTTACAGCACTTAAACCCTGGGATGAAAGGTGCTATGAAAATGAAATGTATTAAAGGCCATGGAATAGAATTGCTCCCATGTTACCATAGTTCAAAGTAGCCATGCCAATTCACTTGGATCCAAACTCTCTAGTGACTTCTCCTGTCTGTAACACTGTGCGGGGCAGCACACAGTTCCTGGTGACAGTGACGTGGATTCCTCAGCTCTCCCTGAAGTCATGATGGGTTGCACCTTCACCTTGTGCTGCACTGCTGCACCACTCCTCCCTCTGTGCTTGGAGTCCACACTTCATCCAACCAGCCGCCGCCTGCTCCAGACCAGTGGGAACTGGGCACCTCCAAAGCTTGGCCACGTTGGAGGGCGAGTTCCCCACTCTGCCCAGCCCACGTGGGGCTTGTCCAGACACTGCATCCTCCTGGAGCCGCTCAGCCCTTCACATGCTCATGGCTGTACCCTGGGGTCACGGACGCTGGGTTCACACGTCCCCTCCGCCTCTCAGGGCAGGCAGGGAGACAAGGGTACATCCACACACTGGAGTCAGGAATGGGAGCCTGGCTCCACTGCAGAATTGTGCCAGCACTGCTGTGCTCATGGACTCTTGGACAGAAAGCTGGGTGACTGGGGTGTTGCCTGGGGTCACATCTGCTGGTGGAAATCCCTGCTGCGGGTGTCTTAGAGGGTTTGCTTTGCAAGAGCTGTGAGCTATAGGTGAGAGAATTTGATGTCACGGGGTAGTGTTCAGGTTCATCCATCAGCAGTATACGTATCATAGCATAGTCTGGAATCCAGCAATCCCATCCTCATCTCCCAGAGAGAAAACAGGAAATCCTTTAGAACAGAGGGAGCCAGGTCTTGTTCGTGTGCTTTATGAATCTCACTTGAGAAAGAGGGTTGAAATCTCTATTCCCTTTACAATCTTCACTGTCCTTGGGACTCCGTGTGGAGCGATGAGGAAGCAGGACCCTGCTCTCAGACCTCAGTCCCCACAATCTGTCTTCACAGCAGCACTCAGGAGCAGTTATGTTGGGTCCCAGAAGGTAGCGGGGCTGATGGGAAGCTCTTCCTTCTGTACAGTACTGAACATAGTGAGAATCTTCAGGAATTGATGGTTTTTTCTTGCCCAGAATACAGGACCTGGACTTCCCTTCCCTGCCTGTAGATGCAGAAGGCTGTGAGTTTTGCTTCTTGGGAGCACAGTCTGAGGATTGTGCAAGTTGCTGCTGTTCATGTATCTGTGTATTTACCAAATAGTCTATCAAAAGTCTCTCAAAAAACTTTACCCAGTTGCTGCTTGGCAGCTTGTTTTCCCAGCTGCAACTCCTGCCCCATCCCACCTTCCTGTGCCACCTGGGGGGCTCTGCAGGCTGGGGAGGCTCAGGGGTTCGTGAAGGGGAATGGGAACTGTGCAATACCTACAGCCTCATCTGCCTTTGGGTTCAAGGCAAGTGGCTTCAAAAAGCTAAAATTCAGCCTCTTTTTCCTCCAGCATTGTGTGTGGAACAGCCAGAGGGAGCCACATCCCTACTGCAGTTGCTGCTGTTGGGTGCTGTGCTGGAGGAGGGGGCTCCAGGGGGGAACTGGGGTGGGCTTGAGCTGTTCTGACCCAGGCCCCTGCCCTGGGACCACCTCAGTCAAGGGCTGGAGGGTTTGGGCACATCAGGACTTTCCAGCTGCCTGAAGTCAAGCACCTTTTTTGAGATGGTTTAAGCATCATTGATGGAGATGTAATTCCTTCCCCTCATTTCCAGGGGGTCTCTAAAGCTGCTTGGCCTCTGTACCCAGAGTGTCCCAGAGAATGAGCTTTGTGAGCTGGAGCTGTGCTTGGGTCCTGAGAGAGGGGAGTGAACCCAGAGCTCCTGCAGCACATTCACTCAAAGAACTGTCTTCCCCTTTTGAGATGATCCTTGTGCAGTTCTATACTGCTGGACAGGGTGGGGTGGTCCTGTAAGAGGACAAGCAAAGGCTTAGAACAGCTTTGTCAAGGGGACAAGGAGGAACCTTCCTGTAGGCAGATGTTGATCTGAAATAGTAACTGCCCCTGTTCAGGCTGGCACAGCCCCTGCCATGTCACCTCCTGTCCCAGTGCTGGGGAACTGTTCGGCCTCTGATTCCCACAGAGGCTGAAAGGACCTTGGCTTTTAGCACTCATTCTTGGCCCCCTCTGCACACCGCTGCAGGGGAGCAGCAGAAGCTCTGGAGCATGTCACAGGCACCGCCAGTGCTGCTTGGGCAGGAACAGCACTTGACCATGGGAAGAGTGTCCTTGGTCTGTGTGTTCCTTCAGCTGCACTTCAGCTCATTCTGGACTTGAGTTGCTGTTCTCTGCCGGGCTCTCCTGAGTGACCCAGCAGGTGCTGTCCAGGCAATCCATCATTAAAGAAGGCACCACAAGTCTTGTACTCTGAGGACAGCCCCTTCCGATATAGGGAACACTGCTGTCCTTCATCCCCCATTGTCCCAGCTGTGATCTCAGACTCTTTGGGACATGCCCTGACCATTGCCTGGTGCTGGGGCTGCAGGTAAACTCTCCCTGCTAGGTAAGGGGCTGGCAGGAGAAAATGGTCATCTCTGTCCCTGTCTGAGTTTGCAGTCAGGCTTCTCTAAAGGCTCTGGGGCAAACCCAGGAGCTCATAGAGAGATCCTCAACACGCACAGAGGGAATGCAGCTTTGGGTTGCCACTGCCTGCCCAGCCACATGTGCTGGAATTGCACTTTGGGGAGTTTTTTAGTGAAGCCAGAGCACTCTTAGGTGTTGGTCCAAGCCACACAGAGGCGTTTGCAGGGCTCCATCACCCCCCGCATTCCCCTTCTCATTTCCAGCCACTGCTCCAGCGCTTCCTGAATGCACGAGGAGAAAGCCAGGGCTGAGGCGTCTTGGGTCATGTCTGAGGGGTTTTTTCTGTCCATGTCTGTCCTGGTGGCTGTCCCTGTCCCCACGCGTGTCCCGGTGGGTGTCCCCGTGGATGTCGCTGTTCCCATACATGTCCGTGTCCGCGCTGCGCGTGAACCGTGTGCCGAATGTACGGCGGAGGGGGAGCGGGCGCTGCGGCCGGACGGGGAGGCCGATGTTGGGGTGTTACCCCGTCTCTGTTCCGGGGACTCGAAGCGTGAGCGCTTTTTGTTTTCTTTCTCGGTTGTTCTGAGGGTTTTTCCCCTCCTTCTCCGGGGAGCCCCTTTTCCAGAGATCTGTACCCCGCTCTGATAAAGCGTTCTGCAGTCTGTGCTGTGCTCTCCAGGGTGTCCGCCTCCTCTCTGGGCGCCGCGCGCGCGGATCGGGACTGGCGGGAGG